ACCACCACTTTTGGCAAGGCTCCTTATTTAAAATCACTATCATTTTTGTTGTCTTGTCTAATGCCTGCAACTTCTGTATTTTGTTGATTTCAAGTGCGTTAACACATTTCGGTCGGCTCAAAGCGCAGACAAGTGTTTTGTATATTCATTTTCGCTGTTTTTACTATTTGCAGAACTTTAATTTCTACAATCAGTTCATTATGAGAGTAACTTTTTGGTCTTCTTCTTCCATCTTTAGACTTATGCAAAGAGCTCAGTTCTAGAAAATTTACATGAGTGATTTTCCTGTTGTGCGCATTATAGCGAATGAAATCTCGTTAGCGCACTGAGTGCCGCTTAAAAAAGAATTTATGTGGGTTTATTGTTTACTTTTATTTCCTCTCGCTTTTTAAATAAAATGTAACATATCAAGCTGCTAAAACATATGGGATTGAGTGTAGAGGCAATTGTTAGCGTACTGAGTCCCGTTTAAAAAAGAACTCATGCTCTAAGCAAGATTTCGGCAACATGGAATTTACTTGAAACGGGGACAATGGAGACAACTAATTGAAAATGGTGATCATGCGGTCTTTAACTTAGAAGTAGAGTACACATCTTAAATGCACTTTCTGCATTCCATTTTCGCTGCCTAAGTTTCAAAAAAGGCTTCTCAAGTTAGATGTCTTGAAATACCAATGTTTGTTTAACGGTTTGGATCTTCTATAATGAAAGTGTTTTGAACATTACTTCTACTCCAGCAAATTGCCATTTATATCCCAGCCTATCGTGCTCTTCTCTAAAGTAAATTGCTTCAGCTTCTCCGCTCTTCACATAATCGTCGACAAGCTGAATGTGCATGAGCATGTCTTGTAAGAAAACAATCGTTAATTACCTTACGAGAGTAGTTGTCTATATCTTTGATGTAAAGGTAGAAATGCTCCACTCCTTGCAGTTTATAATGCTCAAATAGCTCTGCCAACATTAACCACTTGGTTTCATTGTCATAAATTGGTGCAAGGCATAAAGCTAACTCATACTGAGGATCTAAACCATGCTAAGCTGTAATTGTAACAAAATCACCCCCCTTAATCTATCAACTTACTGTCCAGTGTTCTATCTAACACTGCTGTTGTGAAATTCACCACATCGTCAACGTTCAGACTAATGCTCATGTATTTTGCATCTGGATGTCTGCAGCAGTGAACGCCAAATTCAGGAAAGACTGTACTTCTGACTGGAGGGGCCAACTCATACCAATTCTTATTAAAATAGCGGCAATACACTGTTCTTCTGAAAAGAGGTGAGGCTTTGGATAATCTATGTTGATTTTTTGAAATTTGGTAGAGAATGTGTGAGAACGTAGATCACACCTACCCATACCATCCGTCCGCTTCCATCGTCACCACGGAGTAATTAGGAAATGCATATGCAGCAATCAGAGACAATGTGGTCGTTTCCTGTCGTCGATTCCAACGGTTAGCCTGCACATTCTCCAAAATTAAATCATAGAATGAAACACAAAGTTTGATATGGCTCGGCCATACCAAGCTTACATTCCCTGTAATGTTAAAGAAGATTCTATTGATGCTGAATAAGGAAAGATGGAGAATTTATGAATATGTACCTGTTTTAATCTCTATAAATGAATTCTCACTACCATTGAGAATGTCATTCACAATTTGAAGCAGTAAAGGATAATAGTTTGAAAATAAATACAACAGGTAAACAATGGCAACCCCGCACAAAATACAGTTTGGCCTACGAGGAAGCTAAAAAAA